TAACTGTCCCTATGCAATTTTCGTAATCTCCATCATTTAACATTATAAACATTATTACGAATGTCAGGGAATGAAGTTTTGAAATCTAATGCCACAGCTATAAATTATAATCAAAATTGTATCAAAATAAAATTAGATATGAGTCGGATATTTTAAACCATAAAATACCTATTAAATTTGACAGTCTAACAATATTGAATTGAACATTTCGATCCGACCAGAAAATGATTTGTTTTACATGAACTGCAATAAAAATTTGAAACGTATTTCATTTCACAAAAAAATATTCCCTGTAAAATGTCTGACAAATAATCTAGTTTATAGTATTTTGATTTACATTCGACAACCTCATTAAATGAAGACGAAACTCATCTTTTTTATTTTGAATTAAGTTTATGTATGTATGTAGTTCAGTTCAGATTTTATGGATGTAAATATTCCATTCGGACACAAAAAGCGCATGCTATTTTCCCTCAAATTTTATAGCACTAAAAAATTGGTCGTAAATTGTGTCCAGAGCTTTGATGTAGATGCTCTTACAGTTACATCGAATTTCGTAAGCGAAGCACGCGTTCCACACTCCACATTATCTGAATGCAATGATTAATGTAAAACACCATCTTATCCACTTTTCATTGTTACATCTGCTCAGGGGCAGGGTTCATGGTTTATGCTGTTGTGGATGTTAGTCGTCTATCAATACAGTTTATGATTTGAAGTTATCATTTTCTCACTTTCACAGAGATAGCATGCATTGTGTTCTGGTCCGTAGTGTTGAGCCAGCACTAGAGCAAACTTAATGAGGGGTTAATATGTATCTATGCTAATGCAAAGCGCATACATTAGCACCTGACAGATTACAAGTCTAATTAATTTTTCTTTCCCCCTCACTCGCTGTGCCTCATTTGCCGGGTAGGCTATCCCATCCCATCGTCTTAATGTTGAATTTAACCCTTTTCCGACCTTTATCGTTTTAAAAATGCCAGTTTTTAAATAATTCTCACAATCAACTGATAAAATAAAAATATACAATACAAAGATACGTTTGTTATGCTGTGAATGTGTGTGTGTGCGTTAATATGAATTTGTATGCAAACATATTCCTACAATGTTCAAACAAACGAATACAGTCGTGGTATGCATATTCAGGCGGGAACCAAAATCAAATACAAACTAAATTAATTATTTACGTCGAGCATCGGGTTAATGTACATTTGCGATAACATGAAATTATTGCAGATTATTCCACTGCAATATATAGGATGTATAAACCTTTATAGAATAAATACGTTGCAGGACAACTGTAATATAATTAATTTACAGGCAGGTCGAATTCTGGACTCTTACATCAATCCCCTCGTTTTTAGACCCATTTTTGGACCGAGTTGGCTGTAAATTGGCAACCGGATTTTTCTGTGTATAATTGATCCTAAATAACGATCCACCGATTTTAGGAGTTTTGAATGCCATTTTAACTTTTTTCATTTATATTCTTACGTTTAACCACCACAATAAATTTACCCACTCTATTGTATTTGAATACGTTACCCATACAATAAAACGCTGACACAAGGTGCAACTTATACAAGTGTCATCGGTGCGTATAACAAGACTTAAATAAAATTAAATCGTCAGAAGATCAAAGAGCCATTAAAACCCATTTTTATATACAATTTAACGTTAGCATTTTGAACCCTTTCGTAATTATTTAACTCGGTATTTTATTCATTTTTCAATTCCATATTGTGTAGAATTCTCTCTTTTGGGTACGTTTTTATATCGACTGTTGCTGTTGTTGAGCATTGTGCGTTTCCCTGTGCCAACTGTTTTTCTCTATGCTTCCCTTTTTTTGTGCGTCATGGTGTTTCTTGTTTTGCGTTTAAAGGTTATAGGAAACCTGCGCTTTTAATTTATTACTGTGTTTTTGAGTTGAGTAAAAGGGTTATTTCTTGGTTCCTTTTTTATATTTATGTACTTTTATGATGGGAGTTTTTCATATACTGGCTTTGAACCAGAATGAACAACCAAGATAACGGGGCAAGAGCGAGAGTTCCAGTCAGAGAATAGATATATAGTTAATTGTTTTTAGCCATGGCAACGACGGGGGCAGACACAGAGGCGTTAAGACAAATGTTAATAGAATTCAAAATTATTTACAATCGGTACGTGTTGCCACTTCAATTCACTGATATCTTTGTAAAATATAATTGTGTAGAACAAATGATTTTGAAATTCAAATAAATGAGATAATAAAATAGAAACGTTTTTAGTACTAGAATGGTCTTATTTTATATTGGCATTCATATTAATGGATACCCAACTGTCATGGATTGTCCGAAGGAATGTTTCAATATTTATGTCGGTAGAAGTTATTTTTGTTGGATATATCTTCCCAAAAGATGGAGTGTGATTACGACGAATTATTTGCAATGTTCACTATAATAATCGCTGCTCGTAACAACAACTCAAGACATCGACCCCTAAGATTTATATCCCTGGAGTGAATTCTGAACTTTTCACGAATTGTCTGTGCTTGGAGAATTTTCTGGAATCCAAGCAGAGCAAGTAATACAATCGTTATTAAACTGCAAATTAAACAATCCCCTAAAATGATTTTTGCAGCTATAATTTTATGTTAATTACCCTTTCTCATCAATTGTTTTTTTTTTTTCTAAAACGCAAAATACATATTTCAATTAATGTACCAAAAAGCGGCTTTCAATACACAATTTAAATCAAAATACATATGCAACAACAATTGACAAAGTTCGAATTGATTATTATTTGTACTAAACGAAACTGGTATTTATAAACAAACACACATATAAATGCATGTGTATATTTCCTTTTGTTATTATAAATAATAAAACAGATATGCAAATAACTAAAAATGCAGGTAAACCGACAGAAAAACTATCTGCATGCCTGGAATGAATGTATGAGTGTGTGTGTGTGTGTGTTTGATTTATTTTGGCTGTATACTCAACGAGTAATAATAGATCTTATAATTAAACTTTGATTGCTTTGGAAACACAAAATTTGATTGGAAACAATAACAACAATAATAATAAACTGTAAATTCTATATTCACACACACACACACACACTAAAACATATACTCGCAGATATTCGTACAACAAGCGTACATACAATAAAACTTAATTCACAGACAAATACCAGCATACAATTAAAGTTCATTACGTGTGTGTGTGTGTGTGTGCGAAAATGTTGGGCAGAAGTTTACTAGTTCCAGCAGACATCGGTGGGTTAGCGGACGAGAGCGAGCGAATGACGTACTTTTAATAGTTGTGTTTGTGCGGTTGCACGTACACAATGTCAAATCTATACAACAAATTGTTTTCATGTCCTTACCATGGCTGGGAAAAACAATCTCGTTCAGTGGGTATGAATGTGTGTGTGTGTATGTGCGGTCGGTCGGACGGTCGTTGCGCGTGTTTGAATGAGTTTAGGTGGAAATCAAATTTTTTGCATTCGATTGCAAGTTTTCCCGTATACGCTTTTTTAATGAAATCACGTACGATATAACATTTTTATTTCAGCTCCTCCATACATACACTCTCAATTTAGGAGTAGCAGAGTTCGTTTAATTTGGTCCCGTTCAGTGGTGTATTTTTGAGGGCAATAAAGTGGTGTCGCCAAAAATATATGTATGTATGTGCCGTTGTTGTTGTGTGCGAAGCTGTGATTGTGTTTATGTCTGTGACAGTCCAAGGAGTAATATGTTTCCGGCCATGTTTTGGTGTATGAAAAGGATATTTTCCGAACGGAGGGGTGAGCTTTGTGTCCGATTGTGTGTCAGCCAGACACCCCTTTAAGTAATTTGTTCTAGTTGTTTTTGTCACTTGTCCTTCCCCCACTTGAAAGAAACAATAGGCTAGCTGATGTCAGTAGAAACTTTTATCTTGGAATGATAACTTCAGTTGAGAAGGAGAAGCCCAGCCAGCCAACCAGCCAGCTGGTAGTCAGTTCCGAGTCAAGTAATTTATTTGAACTAGTTTGTTGCTTTTGTCATTTGTTTTATTTGCTTGACCAAATGGTTAACATTGAGTGTTTGTTTGAGGCGGTAGGGTCAGGGGAAGACGATGCCTTCTCCTGTCCTCGATTTGTTTCATTTTGTGACCATTGTGTAACAAAAGTAATAAAAGTTTTTAGACATCTCCCATGGAGTGGTTATTTGTTGCTATTGAGATATAAATATGTATATACAGTGTGCAAGTAGTTATGTGACTGTTCCATATCACATATGGGATATTGCATACTTTTTAGAATATTAATATAGGACAATTCCAGATACATTGTTAGCAATAATGACGTAGCACGTTCAACAATATGCAGATACATATTTAGAAATACGAATGGTGTGATAATACTATATTATGGAGTGACCCATATTTTTATAGATATAGATATTGTTTTTTTACTTTTACTTACGAAGGATTGATGGGGTGTCCTGGTTTGTGTTCACAACCATATATTTTGTCCATGAAATTTATGTTGTTTTGATATCCGATAGTAGTTTGTTCGTTCCCCGCTCCATCTGAAAGAGATAAATGAGAGAAGAACTGAAATCCTTCGGTTGTTTCATTTTATGATTTTCATTATCTGATTTTCTGCAGGATATGAAAGGAAAATATTAAGACGACAAGATGAAGTCACAGTGATTGAAAGCTGACCCAATATCAAATGAGTCATAGTTGTTTATAGACGTTTGTTTGCTGGAAATAGAAAATAATTTCCGAATAACATTGCAATAAAAAATTGGACTGGGCTATGAAATTAAAAAGCCTTTTTCAGATATCAATAGATTATTAATAAAAGACATGCCGGTGTTTCCAAAAACAAAACAAAACAAAACACACAAACGCGCGCACATATAAACAAACATACCCTAATGAATGTTACCATGGTTATAGTGAAAGGTGCATTTACTGCTGCAAGTTCTCCGTAAAATCTTATTTCAATGGCAGTAACGCTAAGTAATGAGCAGCAACACCAGCAGATCTGGTTTGGTTCCAACACCTAAAAGGACCCGAAGAGTTTTGCGAAAGGTATGAAAACTAAGTATTTCTATGTACAAAATATTAAACATTAATAATATTTCAACAATTTAACCTATACCGAAATTTAGAAACTTGGCAACAATGACGATTTGCCGAAGAAATTTGAGGCCTTGCCTATGGCTTTGTCTCTACGGCCATTTGGTGGTATTTACAATCCATTTTCAAAAGGCTGTTCGGTTTTGTGCAACCATCCGGCACCCGCTGAAGTTAAGAAGGTCATAAACAAATGCAAGCAATCACTGGTAATTTGAAATGAGTTGTCTACTATTCTATTAACTACTATTTCTATTAATGATCCACCGACTTTCCGTCATTAGACAGTTGAAGGCAAAAATATACATTCCCTGCAGAATTCATCACGTCCTGATAACCTTACACAAGAACCTGATCACGCCACCGATAACATACCCGAAGATCTGTTTCGTCGGTATACCGACACAGATTCCCGACCTTTAACACCCACACCAACAGTTACGAGTATTCACACTCGCACCAGTGCTGGATCATTTCTCAATAATAGACGCTGTATAACACCGGAACTGGGCAAAAACGATGTTATCAAACGGAAAAAGATTATACTCGACTTACGGAAGTCACATTCACAGGAGACCCTCTACTGGAAGCCAGCCTCCGACTTATCCAGCGGCATCACCGACCCCGAGTTCAAGACCCGTAGTGCTGGTGCAAACGAAGACAAGAAGGGCAGGAAACAAAAATCCGAGGATCCAAGACCGAAGTCATCGTTGGCGGTCACCACAACTATACCGGAGGAAGAAACAGTTGATGACACCAAAAAATCCTCACAGACCTGCATCAATGAGCAAGACTACGGCGACGAAGACATTCGAAGGGGAAAGAAACGAAAAAAAATGAAAACAGTGGCCAGTAAATAGTTCACATCTATGACGCTTTCGAACTTACTTCTTTCTGATTTTCTGTTTTAGCTACTGCCACCACCTTTCACTTGAGTCAAGATCCTGAAACACAGGTGGCAGCCTTGGGTCCGGACTCATTAAATCCCAGCACAAGACCAAGCCTTATACCGAATTCGGTCAGCTTATTACCGAACCATGACAAAAGCGAAGCGGAACATGTGTTGCTCAAGGGAAGTTTCTTAACAGACGAGGCATTCCAAACGTTGAAAATAAAACTGAACGTTGATGTTATTGAAAACACATTTGATAAATATGTAAGTGTAATAATTAGCAATCTATGATTCGGGTTTCGCTACAATAAGTATATACATAAATTACAGCTGAACAGAGCTTATCGAGAAGCTTACAAATTCATGCCGTCAAAACCCTCAGATCAAAACGATGTTAGTCACGAATTGGAAAAACTACATTTAATCTGTGAGAATATGCCAAGGAAATTCTCCAAATCGGCTACCAGATTTAACGTCCCACTGAATTTAAAATCGCTTGAAAGTGAGTTACAGGTTAAAAAAAATCAAATAAATGTTCAAAGTTTCACAATTTCAGGAATGAGTGTATGGGATTACTTAAGCAGATATGTGTGGGTGTCAAGGCAGAGGAAACAAATATATAAAAGAATATTTTTGAAGTACATAAAGACGCCACAAGGAGTTGCGGGGCCCGAAACACGTGAACGCCAATCTAAGACTGGAGATAACGAAATACAGTTCCCGCTTCCTGAATACCGAGAACGCGTAATGAACAAACAGTGTTTGTACCAGGCACTCGAAGATGTGTTAGAATTTTACGGCACGGAAAAAAACATCAAACGGGTTCTTGAAATTCTAGACTATGAGAATCTGAAAGAAGATGACAGCAAGGAGTTGACTTTTAGAACTTGGTGTGGTTTGGTGGCCTTTGCTGAACGGTTAGCCTTGGACGATCCCAACGGAACGGATTCGTGTGACGAGGTATGTATAAACGTAATTAAATAAATAATAACAACCAATGGATTTTTTTCACCTTTTGCAGCTAGAGCGCGCCGACTTCAACAGCATGGAATCTCGTCTTCAGAACTACAAAGTGCCATCAGATTTAAGATTTATATTTGATATAGTGAAAAATACCCACAATGTAAAACAGTAAATGAAATTTAGGCATATATAAATAAAAAAATTCAGAAATTGAAACTCCTCGAATTTCTATACGTGTGTTAAAGATCAACCAAAATTATCGAACAATGATTTTTCTTTCTAAAATTCATTCCAACAAAAACTCGCTGTATAGGATATCCTACTCATCAGACATATTTAAGTGAATACCCCACAAATAACACGCTTAAGTCCATATAGAATCGTTTAGCAAGCGTTATGAAAGCACATAAGTTGTAACTGCACAAAAACAGACTTGTTAATCCAACAAACGTAACATGGTAGCCATTGTTACCAGCCACCACACCACCTACACTGAGAAAATTGTAGTACTGCTGCCAACAAGCGTGGAGTGCAGCTTTCCAAGTCTGTGGATATTCTACTAATGTTTGTCCTGTCTGTCGATGTAGTTCGATGATGTTTTTGCCTTCCTGGACTGAACTGCACATTCAATTCTTTGCGTTAACAATGGTCGATTGAAACATTTCATGTTTATCCCTCCTCCTCCTCCTTCTCTTCTCTAACTCCTTGTCTTCTAGTCACTTGTGGAACGATGTGTGTTTGTTAGGCAAAGACAATTACGAAGCTTACATATACGCGTGGTGGCTTATATAACAATGATATCCTTAAATGGCCAACAACAGTAGCGGTGGACAATGCTTTTCACTAACAACACCACCACTACTGCTACTCACACACCCACATCTGTTGTTATATCGCATTAGATAGCCTATACTATTTCTTCGACTGACTAGGCGACCAGCAGACCCCTCTCGTTTGATGGCATGCATGAACGAGTGCCATCCATATAAGGACCACGCTCTACCGCCTCATCCAGGTATGCAGATTAACTGCAAATATTGTCCACTCTTTTGTCTTTGTGACGAGAGGGTGGCGAGCCCCCGGGTTCCGCTTTGGTCGTTTCGTCTTCTATGGCCGGTCGTTTGCTTGCTACATTGCATGAGAAATTAATGCTGTTTTAAGGTAAATTTACAAGGCAAACATGCAAGTAATAAATCAATTAATGAACCATAGCAGGTTTATTAAGGCGCAAAACGCTGCATAGGACGCTGTGGCATGATGTGAGCGGTCGATGCTCTATGCTGACGCTGACGCTGCAGACACAGCAGAACCCATCCACATACCACAGTAACGAATTCCTTGGAATACTGCATGTGCATGTTGCTGCTTCTCTAAGGAACATGTAACGCAAATTGAACAAAACTTAGCCAGAGCTGAGCTGTAAAGACCATGCCGAACTGTTTGCTACGATGAAGACACACCAAGAGGCTGACAAAGCCGTTGGTCTTTCACCAGCCTGTTGTCATAAGACAGTCGAGGAGGAAGAGGGAGAATACGTACAACATTGTCAACCCGAATATTACAACAATGTATGTACGCTGTAAGTGTGAGTGCTTGATGTCCATCCAGTCGGACTTATGCAGTCAGGCAGCATAACAAATGAATTACTAGTGACACTGGACAAGCTTATGAAAATTTGCGCGTTGTTTACATTTAAGGGGGCGAAAATTTATAATCATTTCAAATCAATTCCTGGCTCGAAGAAAGGGAACTGGAGCAAAGACAGGCAAACTGCAAAGCGAACGGTATAGACTATGACTGAACATCGGCAATGGTCGAGCGGCATGATTGGATTGGCGTGCCTTGGCTTGAAAAGACTCCACGCCTGTTGTGCTTGCCTGCCACCACATAGTCGATGATTGAGTAAATGAATCGCAAACAGCTGCGGGCAATTGTTTGTGACAGAGTTGGCGAGTGAGCGTGTTGAATGTTTTATGTGCTAAATAGGCGTTGGTAGTTGTTAAATATGATAAAACCAGTTTCGAATCCACCTCCTGCTTCTGCCGGTGTATGGATCCTTGGCGAATTCCTCAGCCGCCTAGAATTCTTAGTGTGTTTGGTCATCCAGTCACACGAACAACGTAAAGCGAATCTTAATTTGTTTCCTTTAATGATCACAGAAAGGCAATAATCGTATTGTGCCCATATGCCTATCTGACACTCATTTCTGCATCCTCGTCATAGGCCATCGTATGAAACCGCGTGTTAAGTCAATTAATTCAATCCGAATTTAACACGTTAAGTGTCCCAATGCATTTTGCGCTACACCACACACGTACATTTCGTTTCACATTGAAGCCGGAGAGAGAGTAATTCCTGCCGCCATCGGATCTGGTTAAAGGTATCCGGTTACAACGACTTTAACGAGAGCTTTGCAACGTCCGCCATGTCAATTCAGTGTACGTGTGGTCGTGTGAAGACGTAGGAAATATCATCACTTCTGGACCAGTGCCAATAGTTGTCGATCGAAAACTGCAGGACAGAGTATGCGGCTACATATAAATGGTGGTGGTAGTGGTGGTGGTGGTGAATAACTGTTTTCAAATTCACACAGACCTTTTCCGAATGCACCAAATGGTCTTTTTATGACTAACAACTCATCGATAACTTTATTCATTTATTGGCAATCAATGGCATCTATTAATCTTGTGTCTCTGCGACCCGTTGACGGACATAACAAATATTGCAGCCAGGAAACAAGCTGAAGGGAATACATTCCGTTTGCCAGGGGTATCTCTGATGTATGGATCTGACTTCGACAGACTTTGGCGATAGAAAGATCGATTGAGCAAATGCTTCGACGATCCACCAACAAATGGCCAAACAAGGGAAGAAAGGATCCATCCATGCAGGCCAACCAGAATCGTGATTGTGGCATCATGTAACCGCATCATTTAGATCATAAATTTTCTTCTTCGTACAAACTACATGTACGATTTCATGTAACGTTAGCGCGATCGGTGCTGAAAATTGTCATCGTGTCTTTTGGGCAACAAGCGATGTATGTTGATGGAGGCAGACAGGCCATGTTGATGGAGAGCACCACGGCGGACATTGGACGGACAAATTCCGCCACCAGCACATCTAATAAGTACACAACAAGGCTGCATCGTGCCACAACCGGAGAGCCAACAACTACATCCATCTGCTGTTCGTATGTCCGTCGACTCACATCACCACCACCTTCATCATTATGGTGTGATCGTCGATGCAGACAGGCGAACATTGAGTGTTGTCAACGCAAGCAAGACTATTTTTGCCAACATATGCTCATCGCGCTCGTCGTCGCAATTGGTACAGGCCAGTAATGCTGGTGATGCCATAAATTGCCCCATGAACGATGTGAAAGGACACGCCACAGTGGGTGGCGTTCTCAAATGGAAATGTTGGGAAATTGTGGCATTTTTGCATAGTTGTGTCCCTGTCCCCACTTGCCAGCAGCAGTAACAGCAGCAGACGGTAAATGTACAGAACAAGGGAGAGTGGCAAAAACTTAAGAAATCGTTTGTTTTGAATTTTAATTGCTCAATTGTTACTTGGGGCGCAATGTGCAAATATGAACGTACACACACACACACACACACATTTACTACATAGCATGTTTGTGAGAATTGTTTTGTTGTCGTACGTATTCGTCTCCATATCTATTACGGCATCTCGAAAACTTAAAGAAAATTGCAAAGATATGAATCTCTTGCAGTAACAAGTCCACATATGTATCTGATAATATTGCCACGGGCATTTTGAACGTGTTGACATAATTGGTTTTCAGTCACTCGGCAATAACGAAGAGGACAATGCCAAACGACAACAATAATGGGCAACATTTGCCACAGACAGGCGTACAAACATATCTGCATTGTGAGTATAATACCAATTCGATTTGGATTAATTTGAGAAGAACCATACGAAGTAGGAGCCTCCAGGATACTTAATGCAATGCAAATACAATAAAAAGAAATCGAATTAATAACAACAATGGAGATCACAGGGGTGTATGCAAAGAATTTTTCAATTTGAAAATTGTCGATTTGCCATTGAATTTTTTAATCAGGATACAATAGTAGTTTTGGTGAATTATCAAATACTGGTAAATTGACAAGTAGCGTAAGGTCTATTCCTTCACAAGATGTATATAGAGAACCTATATTCACATACATTATGTCAAGAATGAGCTTGCACTTGGACATGGACTGTATTTTATTTGATATTTATTGGAATTTATAATAATTGTATGCTGCACTTTATGCCGTTTCAGTCAACAACATTAAAATTTAATACATAATAAAAGAACATCACATCGAGTAATTTAATACGTTTTAAATCGCCGCTACAATTCCCTAGTGTTAATCTTGGTTTAATTTAACTTTACGTAAAAATCGAAGTCTGCAGGTGATACACTATTTAATAAATGATTTTTTTAATCACATTGTAATATTTGGAAATAGTGAATCATAACAAAAAATAATGTATATATGATTTTTATTAGCAATATAATTCCCAAAAATATTTCACATGACCGACCAACCGATTATCTTCACGCTTTTGAATCGTTTGTATCTACACCTACATTTGCGATAACACCACCTTGACTTCGAACAGATTTTAATCAATGGATTTCTTTGAATTCGTCATAACAACGCATAATTCGATTCTCAGTGTTCGAATGTAAATATTTATGTTTACCCAACGATACAGGTTTTTAAGCTGGGGATTTTTTTTTAAAGCAATAAACAGACTCAGACTTAACAAAAAAAAAGCAGCAGTGTCGTAACTTTATAATGGGGTCGATGGATAACAAGACAGAAAAATTATGAGGCGAATGGACAACAATGTTGCGGATTTATTTTGTCCTTTGTTGCAAAGGAAAATGTCATTAAATCTTGTATGCGGATTATAACCTATATATGTGAATTTCGTGCAGCCTGAAGTGCAACTGCAAAACATGTAAACCTTGTGAATTCAAAGAATCATACAATGAATTGTAATTCGAGGGGCAGGGCGAAATTAGGGATTAACCAGGTTAAAATATACCAAATTTAATTTGCTCCAAACCAAGGTACCCAATGCGAACGGTTATAAATAACGATTGTAGACAAATTTATTTTTGCAAGCCAATAATTCAACTGAACC